CCCGTAATTATAGCACTATTGTTACAGCGTGGCGGCGGGATACGACAGAGTAAAACATTATACACATGCATACTCGCACCGCACACGCGTTTACGTATAACACCACACGGATTTGGGAACAAACGGAGAATTAGTTCGTTTAACGTCGCTGCCACTTAACGGAAAATCCACGATACGGAATTTTTTTTAGTCTCTCGTTGTTTTTTTTTTTAATTATAGTTTTTTTCTTTTATTTTTCATGACAAGGGAAAGACCGACGCTGTCTGCACTAAAATACGATAGGAGGCAGTAAACCTACCTAATAAAAATATATTGTCCCTTAAGGCGCGCGCGCACGACCGCGTGGCATAATGCGTGTGTTGTGATAATATATGTAATTACTGGCGGACGGATCGATGAGCTACTCCTTCTTAACATTCATTTAACAATGTTTATACAGCATTCTTCGGAACGCCTACGAGACGTTAAGCGCGAGTGCGCGTCATTACCTGTATAATTTTGTGTGTTTTTTTTTTCTATTATTACAGCGGGTATATGGGTAATAATATTATTATTATCATATACGTCGTGATTTTCTACGGACGTCAGAACGAAGTAAACGTGTAGGTACAGCACTATATACGTATGCGCGGAGGGCCGTTCGTCCGACTAGACGAAGGAAAATGTTTATAAAAACCAAAAAAGCGCATCCCCTGCAGTCGATGCCGAGATCATACTAGTACGCAGTGTTATTTAAATATTTGTGTTATTCGACGAGGTGTTGAACGCGTCTGTTACTGGCGGTGTACCGACACGCCTGCGCATTTTAGTAGGTATACAATACACACGTATACATACTTATATTGTGCATAAAATAATTATGATGATGGTTAATTTTAATAATATACGGGTTTGAGAAGGGGAGGTGATTATACGTTAAGAACACGAGTTAAACGATATTGTACTCGTACTTTGCGGAGCGATGACGAATTCGCCCGGACAATGCGCAAAACGAATTATCCTTCAACTACGATCGCGGTCCACTCCGGAATCGTAGTTCGAGCAGTTAAAACTGTAATATTTTATCGTATAAAGTTTGAACCTAATGGTCCCAATGCACCGATTATCGACTTTAAAGTTTTTCCGACGTACTAGAGAGGTTCCTTTGTATAACGTATCATCCTACTTTATGTTATTTACGCATGCATAACTACGTTACGTGGTTAATATTCACGGGACACGCCCCTTCGCCATAAAAAGTTAAACAAGTTATTCCTGTGTTTCAATATACAATCGGTGTCTTAAAGATATTACAATAATTACAATACGACCACTTTGAGTAAAAAAAAATAAATCACGCAGTTAATTTAAATCGACTGATATAATTTTTTGGCACGAGATGGGTTTTATTATGTAAAAATCAAATAAAGACTTCTTCTCCACTTGCATTTGGAAACAATTTGTTATACGTTATTTATATGTGAAACGATATACAATATTTGAGTTTATCGTTATTCAGGATTAAATTTTTTATGTGTTTTTTAAATTAAAACTATTAAATAATTGGAAATTAATTATTTCATTTAATGATATAGATACTTTATGTAACATTTTGCGTTATGTTTTGCTTCGTGTTATTTAATTATTTATGTTTATCGTTTTCCGTTATAATTACGTTTACAAATTTTAATCGTTTTTTTTTATCAAATATAACGTTATTAAAACGTATGCAAGCCCTGGTTCAATATAAATTTTCGATTTTTACCATATACATATATTAGGTTATGTTATAATAAACCGTTTCGAGTTCAGCAAACACTAAAGTGCTACCACACGTTTTGAATATACTTGCTATATTGTACTACAGGTCGTCTTCATTATATCACGGTAGGGACTATGAATCATGATTGGTTTGGTTTTCTGTGTAAACTATTTTACAACGATCGTGGCAATTGTTGCTTTAAAAAAAAATATACCTTGAATATTATTTATTACATATTTCATTGCTGGGAAAATTTATGAATCTACACGATTATTCCACTTGTCGTATGGTGGTACACGACAGTGGCATATCCAGGGGAAAGCTGAGGGGGCTGTAGTCCCCCCGAAATTTTAAGAAAATTTAAAAATTATTGTATATTACTATTAAAATAAAATATCCAAAGTATTTTAAGTATACAAGTATATTAAATCAATATATGTCAAGGGTTATAGGAACAAAAATCTAAAATAAAACTTCAGCATCTGCATGTTCAAATTATGGAAGAACCTAAGTAAACCACCACACCTATGTAAAAAATTGATCAGCCCCCCCCCCCCCCGGAACCAAGATCTTGGCTACGCCACTGGTACACGAGAACGTATTTTTGTGCGTAGCATTTAATTTTTGTGTACACTATAAATAGAAGTTATAAATATTATTTACATTCAATTTGGACAAATAAGGATTGTTTTATTATATCGTACGTGTATATATAACTCCATTATAGGAACCACGCGTATGATGATTGTGTATGACCACGTATTTTAGCACATTTTTGATAAAGTCGGGCTTTTGTATGTTTAACTTCAAACTATGTGAAATGCTTATTGTTTAAAAAGTGTACTCCTCTTTGGCATTGAAAAAATGCTTCAGTCATCAAATTTGAAGGTGGTTTATGTTAAATTAATTCGGTAACTGTGGTGGGTAAAAGGAGAAAAAAAATCACATTATTTTTCAAATAATTGGAAAAAAAAGCAAGAGTACTCGCTATGTTGTATGGAATATATCTTTTTATTAAGTAGATAACTGTACGTAATATATGCATTGAATTTGAATTCAATGGTAAATCATTACATACGAGCATTGATTATGAGTAGAGACGGTTTGTCAGTTAAAATATTTTATCAAAATATATTTATTTATTTATTGAAGTAGTTTATTTTTCTATTAGTGACGCGGTAGGTTGAATTAATTTTTACTAAAAAAACATCTCGTATTATGTTCTATAAATGTATTTGTTTTACATAACTAGTTATCAGAAATAATATTTTCATTATTTTTAAATAATTATATTTTATTTTATTTTATACAATGTTATCTACATCACAAATTATTTGCATTAACTTTTAAATGTACACTGATGTAGGTGTTTTAAAAGATCCTGAGTAGGTTCCTAACATAATAATAAATTGAAATTAATCAAAATATTTTGAATATATGATTGTGTGTAGTGAATAAAAATATGTGTAATAGTGAAAAAAAAATACTATAGTATTTTTTTGTTGAAATATCTAACATTTTGTTAAAATTTAATATTTCATATTTTATATTGGTTTAGTGGTCCAGTAATCAATTAATATACACTCCTACGACGAATAAATTAATCCCACGTTGAGTGGTATGGAAATTAGTTACTTAGTGACTTGTATAAGTACAAAATACTCATGATTAGTGACCGTCATCATTACTGATAAATAGTGTCTGGTGTACCTACACTCTACAGTAATTAAAATGTTTGATTGTTATGATGACAATTTTATCGAAATCTATTATTTTATTAAAAGTTTCCATATAACACAATACATATTATACATTAGAGACATAATTTATGTAAAAAAATATATTTTATTATATAATAAAGATTCTAATATTTGAGTATATTAACGATCTGCATAATATCAAGTATAGATATTGATATAAAAAAAAAGTTAACGTACAAAAAAACGTATAATTATATTTGGAAACCAAACATTTAGTTTATTGTTTATAATCTAAAAATTAAGTGATTGTAAGCAATACTTTTTATTCTTTCAAATAATTTAATCATTATAATAATCATGCTTAATATTATAGTGTGCATGCCGTATATAATAATTTATATAGGTATCTACTTAATATTATAATGTATAAGTACTCATTTAAGTGATAAATGCCCGATATGTATTGCGTGTATATTATTACTATATCAACATAATGATGTATTAGGTTAACTAACTTAAATGATACATTAAATAAAAAACTATACAATTAATAAGTTCAAGCCCCTCGGCACGTGGTCCGTGCCGAATCAGCCCACCCAAGTTAAACGACATTGCAAGAGTGATACCGTTCAAATGTGATGTTAATTAGTGGCAATAATTTCTGAGTAGAAATGAGAAAAATAATAACCCGGTTATATTAAGTTAAGTTAATATTAATAAGCATTCTGTATCTCCTGTAATTGCACCATAATTTTTCTGTTTCATAATTTATGTCATAAGTATGTTTTTCTTTCATATTGTTAATATTAATAATATTGGTCTTATTGTGTAAGTTAATACAATTATAGTGCAATGCAATTTTATGTTTATTCTTACTTGCGTTTTATGAAATTAGTAAAAATTGAATTTTTGATCTGTGTAGTTGTAATTCTATAATAGTTATGCAGTGAAACATATTCTTAAATAAATAAAAAATAATAATAATACACAGGTACACACAGAAAATTATTTTAATTTTTCACACTTGTTTGTTTACACCACATTCGTTTGCATTTAATTGGTTTAAATGGTTAGAAATGCAAACTTTCTTCAAATAATATTAAATAGTTTATATTCATTCGTAAATATCTTTTCGTGTGAAATTCTAAATTGTTGTCGTTGTATTATCAAAATTCATCATATTTGATTCACATGCGAAGTATAAAATCTTAGAGCACATCTTAGATTATTAATGTAAATTAAAAATACTAGTATATTCAGCGTGAAGAAACACATTTAGTGAAACTGTTTAAGTAATACGGTAATGTTCAAAAAACGTATTCCATGTAAAAAAAATGTAAAATAGTTTTAGTGTGTAGGTACTGTAGTTATAATTAATAAACTGTGACTATGACGACAGCCGTTAGTACGTATAGAAAAATATTCAAAGAGTTATTTATATACACACAAGTACTTGGTCGGATTAATAATATATCATTTTTTTTTATCGTTTTTTTTTTCTTTTTTTTTTTATCAAAAACGACAGTTATTATTTTGTACGCTACTAAAACCCATAGAAAATGTATACTTACGAAAAAAAAAGGAGTGAATATGGCAGGCAATATCGATTCCACAACATTGGGCCAACAATATTGATGAATATGTTGCCAGATCATAATTTGGAGAAAGATTGGATACAGAGAAATCCAGTTGACAAGAGCACTAACGAAACCAGCAAGTGGTCAGAACACGAGGTATGAATTTTACCCAGATTAAACAATATGCCATGCCTTACAGTTTATTGATTAATATACGGTGTGCATAGGCCAATACGATACGCATAGAGTATGTCAATCGCGGAATTTCGCATAAAGAAGGCGGCTGGCCGATTGACGTACACCTGGACGATCCGGAACAAGTATCCAGATATCGGAGGAAAACGGAAAAGGATAAACTGTATTTAGAATCGGTTAAGACAACGGCAGTTGTACGTATATCTGTTTACAATAATAACTTCGTGAAATAGTATTAATAACGCAAATATTATAATACGTATTACAATTCTTTCGTCCTATTCGATCCAACAAAAATCAAACATGAATTAAATATACAAACAAGAAAATTAGTCATGGTACATCGTATACGTAATATCATTGGTTTTAGAATATACAATGTAGTTAACTAAGTAATATACTTGGCATATTCTAAAATCAATGATAATACTCGTATTTGATACACATACGTTTTTAACTTAATAAATAAATGAGGAAATATATATTATATATGATATATTTATCATTATTTATATTAATTTTTGATAATAAAATGGTTATTTTCAGCTCACCGAACACTTTATAAGACAAAATAATGCGATAGATATATTCCAACCATACTTTACCGATCCGAAAACTAAAGAATTTCAAACACAAACTCCATCTCATCAGACAGTGGCGGTATTCATTGACCCCTGTGAACCAAAGAGACCTGTACGAAACATATCTTGGTCATCGGAACACAGCACACTGATTGCAGTCAGTTACGCCGATATGAGATTTCAAATGGCCGATCCAAAAAACAGTCCCAACTCCTACGTATTTGACACGGGTAAGGAAGTACATATTTAAAAATAATTCGATTATATATAATATATCTATCACACGGTTACAGTTATTAGTTTATGAAATAATACTGAGAAAAAAAATCGCATTTACATTTATTTTTTAACAAGTATATTTGTTTCATGTTGATAAAAATAAGATATATTCGAATGGGTTTTGTCTTGTAACATAATAGAAAAATTAAAGGAGGAAATTTTTCTTCTAGATTGATCTATGATTACCGATTATTTTATTTATACTTTTTTTACTACATATCTTGCAAGGTTACTACATAGTTAACAGAAAATAATAAGTTAAAACGCATTTTATATTTTCAAAATAAAAAGCGACGGTGTAAGGCATGTTAATACCGAATTAACATATCTTAAATAAATACCTGAAACTTCGCGGATAACCAATTTTTAAAATTTATTTCGCAACTAAATTTACATAAGTTAATTGTATTAATCAGATTAAATAATGGTGGACTCTATTATTATCTGTTGGCGTAGAACAATAAATATAACCTTATCGACAGCCTTTTAATTACATGCTCAAAAAAAAAAAAAAAGTGAATGTATGTCTGTATGAAAAACAAATTTTATACGTTGGTGATTATATATTGGAAACTTATTTGAAAATGTTGTTATAGCAATCAGGCAACTCTTATTAACTATATATATATAACTAGTTAATTATTTTACAACTTTTGCATGGTTCAACAAATTAATATTAAATAATTTATATTTAATAACAATTAGTATTTAATTTTTAACTGTCAATGAAATCTCTGTGGGTCTTAAAATGTCGAATTTTTATTTATTTTTTTTTTTTAATAATAAAAAAAGTTTTTCAATATTTGATGGTGTAAAATATGTATCATAAATGATGCTCATACATAGATTAATTATTTCCAGACCGGATAATATATAACTATTTAGGAAAAAGAACGTAAGAGCAAAAGAGCTTTTCGTGTTGTCAGCTGAAAATTATACTAAGTGGTTATTTATACTTTTTGTTGAGTAATAATGTAAAATTTTAAGGCAAAATTTAAAATACGCAGTATCAAATAAAATATTGTGTAAAAAACTACCCATGTACAAGCATTAACCCTTTCTGTTTTATATTATTAATTTAAATTTTGAGCAAATTTATTTTATCATGTTGTATTTTTTTTTTGTGTTTATGAGTAAACGATAAGTCGTCGATAAAATGCTTTGATTTTCAAATAAGGGTGGTTTAGAAGAAACAAAAAATTAAAGAAAAGCGGACATTTTTACGCAAATTAAATTTTCGACAAAATTGATTTTTTTTTTCTTTTATAAATATAATTAAAAAACAAATAACCGTAAATACTTGAAATTTCCACCAAATGTTTATATTATCAATTTTTATTTGGAATTACATTTTCGAAATATTTTGGCTATTTTTGAGCTATTAAATTGATTATAGAATTATAAACTTACGCTATACTAATTATAGCTTAACTATAAATGATTACTACATAAAGAATATAAAACCTAGCATGGAATTCTAAACTTAAAAAGAATTATATTTTATTTGACAGGCGTTTGTTTGATAAATAATGATTTTGATTAATAGATCTTTTTAATATTTTTCATTTTTTGTGAACCTTCTGAATATACATTGAATTATATACGAATATCTTGGATTTATAGAGATGTTTACCTCTCCACATTTTATGATCGAGTCACTTAGCCCGGTCACTATGATTAAGTTCCACCATAGGGACGGACAGCTACTCGCAGGTGGATTGATGAATGGTCAGGTAGCGTTGTGGGACATGAGAAAAAGTACTACAAATGCCGGCATCAGCGAAATAAGAAATGGTCATCGTGACTCAATCCTTTGTCTCCAATGGATTCAATCCAAGACCAACACAGAATTTTTGACAGGATCCAATGATAGTCAGGTAAATATAATCGTATATATTCAATTATAAGGGTGAATTTATCCATTACAAGTATAAAAATAAATTGATCACATATTTAGTTATTTAAAAAGATACAAGAGACGTCCTAAACGTAGTGATAGAATAAATTTATATTAAGTAATTAGTGTACACTAAGCGTGAAAAATAAAAAAAATATGTACTAAAACTGTATCAGTTTTTAATTTGATTTCAAACTAAATAATACACCCGAAAAAATATAATTTCGTTTTTTCTGTTGAAAACGTTAACTCACAAAAATATAATTAAAAAAATTAAAAATAATAATTTTACAATAAACATCTCAGAGCACTAGGGTGAGAACATATCTTTGATAATAAAATCCATAATATTTTAATATATTTAGATCATATGGTGGGATATTAGAAACCTCAATGAACCTACGGACATATTGGTCTTAGATTTAATGAAAACCGAAGCTGATGATGAACCGGAATGGATTCGGTGGGGCCGATCTTATGGAGCCACTTGCTTGGATTACAGTTTTTCAATTCCAATACGCTTCATGGTATGTGAAAGTGTTTACGCATAATATACATTCTACGATAATATAAAAATACTTTGTTTTTTCATCAATTAGTATTAGCTGTCATTCTCAAATGGTTCTAGAAAAGCTGACTACTAAGTAGTGGCTATTTTTAATTACCTACAATAAATATTATACATAACACGCATTTTATATAATTTGATTATTATTATTAAAAATTAAAACTTTAGAACTCTAATGCAAGTAAGCGGGAATAAAATCACGTGAAAATCGCGAAAAATTTTAAATTTAATTTTTGATTGCATTGATTATAAGTTATATAATGCGTGATTAAGCATTTGAGATACGAAAATAAAAATTTTAGTGTGCATAGGATAAAATAGGGCAGTAGCTCATTGGTCAGTGTAATATTACTTGTAAATAATTGTTATTACATACCTATACAGTATACACCTTAATACAAAGATTTTTCTCTGGATGATAACTAAAATACATAGATATATGTTATTTTATGAATTGATGAAACAGCATTTGAAATTACTAATAATTGAAAAAATTATGAATATTTTCTAAAAGTAAAAATAAAATTTTTTTTTTATTATTTTCAAGTAGATTGGCACAAACACTGGACACGTATTTGATGGAAATCGTAAGGGCAAAACAGTGTTTGAAAAAATACCGTATACTTATAAATGTCATGGTGGCCCCATATATTCAGTGAAACGTCATCCGGCATATTTGAAAAACTTCTTGACCATCGGCGATTGGCAGGCAAAAATATGGTCAGAAGAGGTAAAGGAATCTCCCATTATGTGGACTAAGTACATGCACAAATCAAATACAAATATTAAAATAAGATAAACGAAAAGAAAACTAAGTATTTTATTTTGGACGTCATATTATATTATACAATTATAGACATTACGATATGAGATTGACCGACGGCCATTGGAGTAATTCAAAGCATTCAGTTTTTTATGTGACTAGATCCGATGGGTTCTTGGACTGTTGGGATATCTTACAGAACCAAAAACGTCCGATACTTTCAATCAAGGTGTGTAACAATCGTAAAATAGAGATATTGAGAAAATTAATAGAAATACAATTTATATCAGTTTTCTTTTATTTAGCTGGCTGACAAGAGATTAAATTGTATTAGCTGCCATGAAGATGGAGCACTGTTAGCTGTCGGTGATGACTGTGGTAACACACGCGTGATTGAAATGAACGATTGGTTTGTGTCCCCTGGACCATATGATAAAGTTCGATTGACAGCTGTAAGTCGCGTAGTCATATTTTCAATAAGCATTAATGACAACTAAAAAGCATTTGCTTCTTGTGGCCATCTCAAAAAAAAGGAGTTAATTGAAGTTTAGAGTTTAAAACTACGAAAATAAAAGGATTTGTTAGTTAATGGGCTATCTTACATTTATTTTTAAAATAGTTTTCTTTATTATCGATATTTAAATTATCTGCATATCTTAAATATATTTTTTTATTTATTTTTTTAAATTGAATTACCAACGTTATAAAATTACTATTTAAAATTACATTTTTTTTCTGATAGGAAATTTAATAGATAAAAGTTTCAAAAAAAAAAAAAAAAAAATGATTGTTTAACTGAATTTTTGTGATATTTGTAGTGTATATTAATAATATTTTTTTATTTTTTATCTTTTTTCATTACTATTAGTTTTATTTAATTTTAGTTTTATCTAATTATAATATTCTTGCTTTTTAAATAAAAATTGATATGTATGTTTGATATTTGGAAAAAGTTTAGTAATTGATGTAAAATTTAATATAAGCCATACGATATCAAAATTTGTCAGGGGTACCAATTGAGGAAAAATTTAAATTGTTTTATTATTTATCAACAGATGTTTGATAGAGAAACTAGACGAGAAAAGATCATAGAAGCTAAGCAACGTGAACAAAAAACTAAAATAAATTTCAAACCACCTCCAAAAAAAGATGATTTCTTGATAAAATCTGAATTAGCGGTTGAAGAAATGGAAAGAGAAATGGCTGAATTCGTTGAAAAAATGGTGAGTTATGATGATTTTATGTTTTTCAGTAGGTAATTATTTACAAGCATTACGTATTTACGGACTTTTATGGTTAATTTATTAGTATAGATGAAATTAAATTAGGACGATTGGTATTTACTAGAATACATTTTAAATAAATTCATTTTCAGTGCCACAATTCGTTTAATGAAATGAACGAGAATGATATAATGGAAGAAATTAAAGAGGAAGAATTTATAACTGAAGAATAAAGAACTGGGTATTTTTCATTTAATAATCAGACTATTGACTAAATCGATAGCCCTAGTCTCATAATAATCTAACATGAGATAAAGTACCTAATTAGATTCATAAAAATTGTCAATAGATAACTGTGGTCCTTCTGCGAATTCTTTAAAATGTTTATTATATTGTAATATTTGCAAATACAATTACAGCCAAACTGTCTACTTTCTCACAGAATCGTATTGGGTATATGCTATTCAATAAGAATTATCATTTTAGTAAATTCTTCTTCTTCTTCTTTTTTTTTTTATATTATATTTTGAACGCCTGAACAAGTAATCAAAACATAAAATGATAACGTGAGTTACTAAAACAAATATTTACGTAGAAACAATATACGCAAAATATCTATATAAATGCAATATTATATATGGCAGCTATTCAATGACGTTAAATTATAAACAACAATAGAACAATTTAACTTCGTTTTGATTTAAGTTACCAGTGCTCTACTAAGACAAACCAACTTTATCCTACTCGTATTTATCTTTAACCTCGAAATAGTTACCAATTAGCTATAGTGTCAAATTATAGTAATAAATATTAAAAGGCTGGTAGAGTTGAGTTATTTGTCTAAAAACATTCAACGGACGTTTGGTGTGATTGGGCTAATAGAGAAATAACGATTTTACGAAGTGTACATTTTGCATCAATAATTTACAATTATTAATTTTGACTCTTCGCTAAATGTATCGAGAGAATACAAGAGAAGAGTAGGTTTTGATGTTTTGCAGATTATTTTAGGTTATTAGACTACCGTGGTTAGATGAAAGTAGTATTATTGTCTGAGTACTCTGCTACATATATTTATTATAGATACTGAAAAATGGTTAGAATATATGTCAAGAGGATTATTTATTCGAGAATGTAATTGCTTTGACATATTATTCACAAATATTTTTAGTATATTATCTGGATTTTTTTTTTAGAAAGGTTGATCAATAAGTTAATTAATTATTTAGTATAATAAAATTATAATAATTATTATTGAAATAACATAAATTATACATATAAAAATCACGAGCATGCAATATCAAAATTATCAAAACCATAATTATTGTACGCAAAAACTATTCGCCAAAAATACTTAAGATGCAAAAAAAGCCAAATATCAAATTTTCCTACGCAAATCTACTTGCAATTTATGTGAAGATAACTAAGTTAAATAACTTAGAGTTGAGAATACCTTACAGCTCAAAAAAACCACTACCTTAAAACATATATTAAATAATGAATTTCATTAATACTGACAAACTATTAAGCAATCATCTTTAAAACTTAATATATTTTTCAGAGTATCGAGGTTTATAACTTTAATTTATTAAAAAATAAAAATTTCCCATTATGTAACGTCAATGAATAGCTTCTTCTATGATGAGAGTTACCAATACTAGGTAGTTTTTTGTTGTTTTTTTTTAGTAAAATAAGTTATTACTACATAAAGATATAATTGTTGACATTAAATTTAATACAATTTCTCATATTACTTTGAGTTTTTACTTGTAGAAGTACTTTTTTAGAACTACTTGAACTACACTACTTTGGCATACTTGTAATATCGCTGTTTTAACTTTACCGAATGACCTACCATCACTCTCATACAGTTTAATGTACTATAGTATGTAATGATGGATTGTATGCAGGATAATAAATATTATTTATGTTAAAATTTTATAGACTAGTAACTCATGAAAATCTTTTATCACATACAACATTTTTTTAAATTTTATTCGAGTTTGCCTGTTCATATAATACATATATATTTAATATGAAACACACGTAAGCAGACAGTGATTCGTTAGACATTATAATATTATTATGAAATGTGACAGTATGGCGTATTGGCGTAATATCCATTTACATTAAATAAATTAATATATCGTTGTATTGCAAACACATACATATCCACACGTCCTATATAATAATTTTGTTATGCACACAATTAAGATTGTAAACTTTCGTTATTATATCTGCTTGGTTTTTATTTTTGTTAATTTTATGTTCCCCATTTCGTATAAAGCCAAAAATAATATCATATAATATCAGCGTTTGACGCGTGGAGCGCAGCATCAACCGGCGTTGCTGCCTCGGGTGAGTTTGTTTTAAGTTTCAGAGTTTGCTGTATCTGTTATGGATAATATAATTAGGAAATGCGCGAGACCCCCAAAACGTATTTCGTCATCGACTGGTATATATGACGATCGGCATACTGAACACATTATAATATAAAAACATAGGGCGATTCACCATTCATTCTCACCTTTCATCCACACACACACACACACACACATACACATACACATATATATTTATACACACACTAAGTTATACAGTTAATATAAAATTATTTATTATGCACTGGGCGTGTGCGTCCCCTTGGGCTCCGAGTCCAGAAAAGTGGTCCTGTTTAAAAACATATTTTTCACGTTCGTTCAGATCGACTTCAACGACCAATTACGCTATTTAATAGTACTTGAAAATAGGTCGTACACGTCGTGGCGTCATTATTCAATGCAACAATCCGACAACTTATAAACATTCGATGACTGTTGTTTTTTTTGCTTGTACACAACTGCTTTAGAAATAAATAAGAAAAACTACATTCAAAGCAAAATGGACATTTTTGAACTTACAAACGTATGTAACGTGAAACTGTGTTTACTTTTTAGTTGTCAATATTAGACATTAATATTAATAAATTATTAAACCAAAATTATAATATTTAAACGATAAGTTTGATAAAAACAGATTATTTAAATTATTCGTTTGGCAGTTATCAGAGTATAATCATTCTTAAATATTAATTGCTCGTGAAAAGATTAAAAAAAAAAAAAATCCAACTATTAATTTTCAATATTTTTTCATTTTTGTAAAAACCCTTAATAGAAACATTATTTTACATTTTCAAGATTTTTAATAAGCAAAAAATAGAGTGATTATAATGATTACAAATCAAATATTATCAATAAATAAGTCATATATTATTTTAATATTTCTAAGTTTTTAGAAATTATTATTTCAATTTAATTCTTAAAACAGAGTGGCAACTCAATTAATTTACAATAGAATATTTGCTTGAATATGAAATAAAAAGAGTAGAGATGACAAATTAAAATAAAAGCCCAATGATATTAGAACGTTTTGGATTGCTCTTTACATGTATAATAAAAAAATTATAATATAAAAAAATAAACATTAAAAAATCCCTGTCACTATGAACTGTTTTAATAACTTATAATACGTATAATATTATACATTTTTCGCTTCGCTTAAAACATATTCTAATGTGTATACTCGTGTATATAAATATAATATAACCCATTTATTTAATATTATTATCTGAATAATACCTAGAGTATGGTAATTGTAGATAATAAAATTGTTTTTAACTTTTCTTTTTTTTAGTATCTTCTAAACATTATATAATATATGTAAAGGAACTATAAAAACCATAAAAATAATAAAATCAGACAAATAGTATTATAGGATGGAAGGTTTTGCTAGGTATTAAATAAATTATTATTATTATTATTATTATACTCCTATCTATATCATAACAAATTAATTAATCATAAATATTGTATCATTAAAACGGGTTTATATGTTTATTAGGTACTTATAACACAATACTATCACATAGTTTCTAAAGTTATTTAACTAATTAATTATATAACTCTTCGTTGTAATATTGTTGGTATATTTTATTTATTCTTTTTTTTTTTTTTTTTGAATTAACTGAAACAAATACAATTAATTATAACAACAATAATAATGTATAGTTACTAATGTCGTATTAAAATAAAAGCTTTTATACATACTATAGGTATTCTATTATAATACACATAAAATATTAATTGTAAATTATTCTTCTTTCTACTAATTTACCAATTTAAACAAAAAAAGCTCTGATAAAGATAAGAAAAAAATTAATAACCTTTTTTTATTATTTCATAATTTGTTCTGAATGTAGTGAAGAATACCAAAAACACAATATTCTTTTATACATGTTAGAAGTTTAAATTTTTACTAAATTATTCAAAGTTACAAATATTTACAAAATATTTTATAGTTCAATTTAAACACCCAAATACTTAACATAGTTAAAATAATAATGTAAAATATTTAATAAAAAATAAAGCTTAATGTAAGAATAAAAAAAATAAACGCTTTAAATTTACAATGTTCCTTGTAATTTTTTCTAAGAGTAAATCAATAATATTGAAAATATAATATAGCCATGATTTTTTTTTTATATAGACTTTTATTGTTCAATTACTTTTGACGATATTGTATATTTTAACGAATATAATAACGGTTAATCTTCAATAAAATTTCTTATTATAAAAACTTGAATTATTCCATTATTACATCAGTTATAATTTTCTATAGACCATGGAATTTTCAATATATTTAGACTAGTGTTTAACTACTATTTTAGAAAATAATAATAATTACAATATTATTTTGGTGGAAAAGCTTGAAAATATTTAACAATATTTTTTTTAATATGTTGTAATTATACTTATAAAAAAATATCTAAAATGTATATGCACGATTTGTTTTACGGGAATTCATAATTCAGACTTAAATGGTTGGTATTTAAAAAAAATTAAAAAATAGTTATTTTGTTAGAATTCAAAAAATGTTTTCTGTAGGGACTTGAAACTTTTGGTCGTATGTTATTATTCTCTACTCAGAAATAAAATAAAATTTACCAAATATTTTTACTACATACTTTTAAGCTATTTTCCCACACATTTATTTTATTCAAATCGTTCTGCAGTACACTAAAATATTAGTATAAAAATATAATAAACTATAAACTAAAATACTTGTATACTAAAATACAAATAACAAAACATACTATATAACACGATGTAATACATAATGTATATTGTTAATAAAGTAAATAAATATAATATAGTGACTTATAATACATTTTCATAACATAAAATAAACTATAAAA